ATGTATATTCAGCATAGATATCTGAATATATATATATATATATATATATATATATTCGTATGCAGGAACATGCACAAACTTTTTTGTAATATACATATATATACACATGTGATATATATATATATATATACACACATGTACACGTGTAGACATATCTCCCCTTTCATTTATGAGCATAGATATATACAACATTGTACTTCACATTGTTGTATACTTACACATACACAGGCCTACATGCATACAACCTTTTAAGCGTCCTGGGGCCATTGCAGAAGGCTGCTCAATCGTAAGACGGGCATTACTCAGGGCACAGAGAGCTTCGGCTGGGAGGGTTTCAAGCCTACCGGTTTTCTTTCGCAGTTCCTTTGCACACTCTGAAACTAGATCACTAAACCAAAACATGAACACAATTTAACACTCGACGGGGCCGTGCACCGTTTTCGTAGGACTACACCATGGACTCGACGACACTGCACCATTGTTGATTGTATGTTAGTTGATGACCAACAAGGCAAAACAAATTATCATATGCCATTACAAAGGGCAAAGCCTTTACCTTCTTGGACTAATCATGCAACAATAGGACATGACTTTGATGCACATGAATATCTCTGAATTCTGGAACTTAAACCCACCCTTACGAAGCCCACCTGGCTAATTACCCACAAATAGATGCTTTCATGCAGGCCTGAATACACACGTATACATACATACATGAACACATGCATACAGACAGACAGAGAGACAGACACATACATTTACCCGTACATGCATGCTTTCATACATGCACCGGACCCATAAATATTTGGCTACATTCCCGAATCCCCACACAGAGACTGACATAGATGCATAGAAAAGTGCACATGCATTTGTGTGTGTGCCCATGTCTGTGTGAGTGCTGATCATGCCAAACTACATAAAGCAGTTCGTTGCGTAAGAAACTGTGCCTGTGTACCTATCCAGAGAAACCCCTGCTCAGTACACATATGGCATACACCATATGGCATACACCTGCTGTGCTTGCCTGCTATTCATGATACCATATAAAGTAACCTCGGGGCTAGCATAGTCATTGGTTTCAGAACATGTTAAATACGTATGCACCGTTCCGGAAACTCTAACAGCCTCATAAATAACAATAAATCGGGGAGCCCTCGTGTCTAGACCCGGCATTCCAAGCTCACTCAACTCCTTTGGTAATTGCCCGTGAAATCCCAAACTTCGAACCCCAAGCTATGTGCACACTTGTCACCCCAAGTCTAGTTCTAGTTCGAATGCGAAATACGAAATCACAAGCCCGTGCGAGCCCAAACCATAAAGTGGAAACTTCTCAACACAGGCACAAGCTTTGGTGTTATTTTTGGGGGAGGGCCTGGGAAACAAACTCATACCCAACCCCTCGGCTTGAGCTGGTTTGCGGGGATATTGGGTGGAAGGGTTTGCATTTATGGTTTATGTAACTCCAGGGTTTAAATGACAGGACGATATATGCGGTAGAAAACACCAATCTCCAACTCTGGAAACCCTTGTCATCGAACCTTGTCGAAGCTCGGAGCATACATGTGGGGCAGCCGGATCCATAAGCAAAATCACAGCCTGAGCGAGCGAGTGGTTTCTGTAGGATAAGTGTTGGGGGTTGGAAAAAATCATTCGTTACATTATTGGGCTGAGTGGCTCGGCAGTCGTATCATCAGTAGTCGAGGAATGAGCTGTCGATCGGCGGAACAAAACCATGGCCCGGAACACTATTGTACTAATTGTACTATAGCCATATAAAGCTGCATGCTTCACTTCAGTCAATCGCACATATCTGAAGGGCAACGGACACAGCACACTCGGTGGTCGCACCGTCCTGCTTCGTACGACTTCGCACGGGTCGACGTGTAGTTGATGTACAGCACATAGACCTGAGCACGGCAGTCTTTTATGCGTGCACTAGTTAACAATCAGCACATGTGCATTGAGCGATGGCAACTACTGTTTGTGCACCCCTCGCACAGCATCTCACAGACATGTCGTGATTGTACAGCTGCTGTCTCTGCACAAAGGAAACTAGCTCCACTGGACCATGGCACAAACCACGGCACGTGAATTTCTGCGAAATCCAAGCCAAGCTAGGGCAGGCTGCTGCTTCAAGCATGGGATAGATATGAGACTTTCACCTTGCATCTGAAGCACATGCAGGACAATGCCTAAAGCAGCAAACTAGTCTCCCCGTCTTCGGGGACCCCGGGGCCTGAACCCGGGAGCCCTACACTGGCTACACCCTGTTTTGCCCCATCGGCACCTGGAGGCGGCTCATGATTCTCGGGAGGGGCATTGCCCCCATCACCCCCGGCAGCAGCAGCAGCATCCACCACAGGTACAGGGGCGGAACATCCACAGGTGCAGGGGCGGGAAGAAGTCTGGCCGAGGGCCTCTTCAGCACATTAGCCTTACCCTTAGCTTTAGCTTTTGCTTTGGCTTTGGGCTTCGGCTCACACACATCATCAGCTTCGGCTCCCTTGGGGGAAGCTGTCTTCTTCTTCTTCTTCGAAGCTTTCAAGCTGGCTCTCAAAGCCTGCTGTTCTTCAGCAGACAAAGTCAAGGGCTCCACAGCCTCGGAATCGGAAAGCAGGCATGCAAACCGTGGCTTTTACACTGCACTCACAACTCGACTTTAAGCTACATCCAAGAAACCTTGCGCTTTTTCCGGGCGGGATCTGTCGGCGGAGTGGGTGTAGTCGAAGGGGCCTTTCTGCGGTGTCGGAATCCCGGGGGGGTCGTGTTTGGCGTCGTCGATGCCGTGGGCGGGGACTTGGAAGCATTCTCCATAGCCATGTCAACATCATACAAAGGCTGTGTCTCGACAGCCTCACATCAATACTGCCATGGGTTCAAGAAACTATACGGAAGCAATCTCAAAACCTCGCGAGTTGTATTTAGACCAAGGTGCATCAGGATTGGCTGCTGGGGCCAAGGTCGGTGGTCGGGCTGGGCTCTCCAAATCAATCACGACAGACAAACCTGCATGAAAGAGCCATGCACAATTCTCCACGATTCACAAATCAAATTGTTGCGGCCGAAGAACTGGACTTGTCCTTGGGCTTCATCTTGTCACTCGGTGGGGACCTTCATTTCAACTTGCACAACTCACGGCCTCTATTAACAACTTATGTGGACAGGCCAGATCAAGGCAAGCTACATATGCAGCAGTTGCTTCTCCAGAGTTTGGATGTGGTCCAAGCATTGGGCCAATTCTATCTCGTCTGCGGATCGCCCAGATCCAGAAGCCGTTGGGCTCGGGCGAATCTCAGGAAACAAAGCAGGATCAGGAGTGCGGTCTGGCCTCGCTTTCACACTCTTGCCGGCAGGCAAAGGCAACAGCTTCTTCATCTTGGGAGCCCGTGCAACCCTTTCCTTCGCCGGCTCCGGCTCTGCTTCCTCTAGATCCTCGTCACCTTCTGGCTCATCATCCCCTTTATCGCCTTCGCCTTCCTCTCCTTCCTCTGCTCCTTCATCATCATCACCCTCATCATCATCGCCATCTCCTTCGGAGCCTTCATCCTCGGACAATCCCGACTGCAGAGATGCAAAGGCTGACTCTGGCACAGCTTCGCCAGCTTGCAGCTGCTCGATCATCTTCATCACATCCCTGACGTGGAAGTCCTAAGCTATGGGCTACATCAAGCGAGGAACAAACCTTCAGGAAGAACCCAACTTCTAAGAAGCCTCAGTTCAAATGCTACATGCCTCTTTAGCCCGGCTTCTCGAGGAACTTGCCCCCTTCTCTGAGCATCTGCTGTCCGACGAAGAACATAGCTGAAAAGAGTCTTCAGAAGCTTGGCATCGTCCTTGGCCTGCTTGGGGTTCTCGGGAATGAACCCCATCTTCTTGAAGAGTGCAGTCACCTTCAGGGTGGATTGGAATCAAATGTTAACATTTATGTACCACAATGAGCTATGAAGGCATGTAAGTTTTGCCCTACCTGTGCCGTCAAGGCTGGCAGCCCCTGCTTCTGAAGCCCGGATGTCTGCAGCATGCAGCTCACAATTTCGACATTCTGCCGAAAAGAGGTCGTGCATGCTGCCACCCTGCAGCCATCGCCTCCGATCTTCATCTTCAGCCAGTCAGTGCCATTCCGAAAGCGGTTCCTAACACGAGCCACATTCTCCCACTTCTTTGCGAGGCTTTTGGCCATTGCCGAAACAACCTACCTGGTGGCCCCTGCAGCAAAATGCCGGTCGGGCCAAAACACTATGCGAGCAGATCGAAGCTTGCATGCTGCAATGTATTTTGCATCACACATGGGAGCTTCTAGCCCACTTTGTCTGAGCATCGAGCCCCAGTCGCAAGAACTTGTTCTGCAAAAGCGGCTTGTGTCTCGGAAAGGCCAACAAGCACCAGTAGCACACACACAAAGTCCCTCGATCTGAATGGACCGAGATTTCAGGCGAGACACCTCATCGTGGCGGTGGCCAACAGAAGCACCCAGAGGAAAGCAAATCTCGCCATGCCAAAGGCACGAATTACCAATTAAGCAGCTTTTGCTAATGTATTTGTCACTGAACTGCTTGATGCTTCAGTGCTGACCGAAAAGTCTGCAGATGCCAAGCAGCTATTCTGCTAAGAATGCAACCTATGCACATGATCACGATCGGAAATCTCTGCATGCACTCGTTTGCTGCACACTGCGGGATGGTTTGCTCAAGCTTGCCAGTGAAAGCAGCACCTCATACGACTGCCAACATCAGCTGTCCAAGGGGTTTAGGGCTTCAGGGGTTTAGGGTATAGGGTTAAAGAATGGGACAGTTGCAGGATTCTGGGGAAGTTGCAGGTTTTTTTTTCAGTTGCAGAATAAACTTGCAACTTTACTAAAGGCGTGGGTTTTTTTGCAGTTAGTGGTTTTTCCTTGAAACTTTGGTTCTCCAGGTAATTATAACTCTACGTATAACCGTATAACTATGAACCTCCAAGTAGAGTCCTAAATCCCAATAATCTTGTGCAGATCCCACCAGGTCCTGGCCGCCGGCGTCGGGGTGAGCTCCTTCCTTCGGAAGGATCAGCGCCCGGGATGCCAGACCCTGCACAAGGGGGCTTTAGGGGCTTAGGGTGTAGGGTTTAAGCGTTTAGGGTTTAGGGGCTTGGGGTTTAGGGGCTTGGGGGGTGGCCCTGAAGCCCTGAGCCCTTAGCTTACCTTTGGTTAGTAGGGAATGGAGAAATGGGGTGCAGTTGTAACCATACTACTACTACCGTTCTTCCATTCCCTACTAACCAGAGGTAAGTTAACCCCATGCGTGAAGGCCTGCATGTCAGTTTTTGTATAAACGTAATGGAATGATTTACAGGTTTATTCCCTTGCATAGAAAACCGTCTACATGCTGCTCGTGAACCGATACGTCCTTGCCATCCCTACTGACACCCCTGGACATCTCGATGCAGCTTGACGGAGCAGTGTAACATGGGACAGAACGTGGCGATATGATCCAGCGGTAGTGCGGATTTTCGTGGGAAAGGGCACGGGCTCTTACGGTCTGCGGCCTGCGGAGCTCATACTGGAACCAAGGATGCTGAAGGCAGCAATTCACAGCACGCAAGTCTGCAGTCAGTCACACAGCTTCACACTATAGGGACATGAAAGCCGCACCCAAAAGAACCACTAAGTTCCTGGCGCAGGACTTGCAGCTGATGCTGGAGTATGTCCAGGTCATGCTGCAGCTCATCTCTTTCAGAGTTCGCCACTCTCCTTGATGCTGCGTTAGTACACATCCTAAGGCCCAACGAACTCATCAAATCCGCAAAACTTAGACTTAGCCCTCGCTTTGCTGCATGCTCGACGCTCCGTCTTCTGAGCTGTCCCACAGTCCGATGTACTTACGTCCCTCCCAACCATGCTGGCGTCTTCTGCAACTCTGACTGACTCGACATGGGAGCCCGCAACCTCCGACACATTGCTTCCTGAACAGCTTCGTTCAGGACTTTAGCCTTACGAACTTTACTAGCCCTAAACCCTTGACTAATCGGGAACTCGGAAGCTCAGGTGATTGGTTGCAAAGGCGCTCGCCGCGCTCTGCGTCCTCTCGCAGGCCATGTTCATGGCGCAATGCCGCCTCCAGATCCTGCGCTTCTTCGTTTGGGCTTATGGTTATGGGATTTCTACAGTATTGCGGGATGCATGGAGCTTGAGTTGAGGTCTGAAGGCATCGGGGAACGAGTCAAGCTGCTTCGGTCGCCCAGTTTAGGGAGGGTGAACAACAGATGCATGCAGCTTGAAACTGTCGTGAGATACCAGCCTTCGCAAAGAACAAATGCAAAAACAACGCCTTGCACAACACGACGGAGTTACGTCGACTTGCACCCTGATCAAAGCTCCCAACTTATGAGTGCTCATGCAGTCAACCACAAGCACGAGAACCCTTGCATCCTAAACTTCGAAGCTCCCAAGCCAAAAACTCAGCATTAAATAACAACTAGGTATGTTTTTCATGACAAAACATGTTAAAAAGGACAAAGCAGGCAAAGTGTTCTTGCAAGGCCTGCAGCTGAAGCTGAAGGCGTGAGGCCTGATAGCGAGCCACGGCGATCCACAGAGTGGGGGATTGTAAGGCCGCAATGTCTGTTGTTGCTTAAGGTTGAAGGGGCTAATGTGTATGTAGGTCCCCTGGACATTCAGATCACCTCTCCAAGACCAAAGACCTCGAATCCAAATCCCATTCGAGAGCGGCGAACAAAAGCCCTGAGCAACTTAGACACTCACCGAGATGGCTCTTGCAATTGCGAGCATCCTTCCACAACATGAGCACAACTTCATCTCAGCTGCCTCGAATTCTGCTCTGACAGTTCCACCTTTATGATTTGCGCCCGGCAAGTAACCTTGATTTCAACATCTCTTTGCCACGTCCTGAAATCTCTCCCTCAGCCGGGGACCAAAAAGACCCGTAATGCCCTAACCGTTCACCTGAGAAGTCTATGCCTATCAACCTACAGCCCAACTTTTACCAAAGCCCTACACTAACCCTCAAACTGACACGTCTTGTAAGCCTATACAAGGGGCCTTAATTGCTAGTCAGACCAGGGTTTGGGGTATATTATACCACACGTATAGCAAGGAACCCCCAAAATAGTAGAGGTAAGAAATTAGCCTGTATAGACCCCTTGAAAGGAACCCTGATTATTTAGGCCCCAATTTATTGAGGCCCCTTTGTATGACCCACTCTCCGAAGAATCGGACTTCCTCGCGGCCTCCTCGACATGGGCTGCCTTGCTGCGCTGGAGCAATGCACGGAGCTCCAGAACCTCTCCGCGCAGCCTCCGCTTTTTTTGGGGCTTCCGATTTCAGGTTCCTTTAAATGGATCTTGAAATGGATCTTTGGGGTTCCTTTTAAGGGTTCCTCTAAGGGATCTATGGGGTTCTATTCAAGGGTTCCTTCTTCAGGTTGCCTTTGCAGGGTAGTGTAGGGTTCTACAATGGGCTCTCCATTCAAGGGTAGTGTAGGCCTCTATATACTGGTAGGGTCCCTTCTATAAGGGTTTCCTGCACGGGTCCTGAAGGTGGCTCCTTTCTAAGAAATTGAGGTTCGCGGCTTACGGAGAGGTTTCGGGTTGTCATGGTTTGCCGGCACGGGTGGCCGGGCGGGAAGCCGGCATGCGAGGTTTCGGGGAGGTTGTGTACAGAAGCATGGAGATTTGAGGGCAAACAACGTTGGCACAATTTCAATGCCGTTCAAAGCTCTCGGTTCAGTCTGTGAGCGGCGAGTGCTGCTGTTAAATCGTGAGAAAGGTTGTAGCAAACCATACCTGCAACTCGGAACCCTGTCACAGCCAGCAGATCCCCGTCTCCCAAAGCCCTGGCAATACCCTTGCGCTCTACCGTCCTACATTCACACCCTGTGCTTTTATACACGCGCATCTACCTGTTTGATTTGCAGCTTGAGCCCTTGAGCCCTTCTTGCAGCTTCTGGAGTTACGGCACTACATGGGGGTTTCCGAAAATTAGGGTACCTTATTTTGGGGTCCTTACAATAGGGATCCTACTATTTAGGGCACTAGAGTCCCCCCATTTTCGGAAACTCCCAAATGCGACCCAACACCTTCATAGCTGTAGCTAAATGTCGGATGGCGCAAGGATTGACACAAGTATTTCGAATAGTTGGCGAGGCCTCAATCTAAGTGACCAATCCCTACAAATTCCCGAACTCTACCTCCCCGAACACCAAACCCCAAAATCCTAACCATAAATCCCCAAACCCGAAGCCCCCTGACTTGGAGCCGTGGGGCTGCTGTGCTTCGTTGCAGGCAGCAGTGCGGCTGCTCGGGGAAGCCGCTGACAAAGGGCCACTGCCTACTCGGCTTTGGGATCGCTTAGGGTTTCGGTCTGTTTGGTTTAGGTTGCGGTTTCTCAGGGCTTCACAGACATTAACAGACCATTTACGGTGCTTATCTTTTGGTTTGAGGGTTGTGGGGTTTTGGGACGTATCGGGTCAGGACTTTGGGGCGCGAGGAAAATTTCAGGAATGTTTGCTCAGCAGGACAACCTGCAAAATTGCACCAATAGTGCCGCGAAATCTAAAAGCATGAGTCGGACACGAATAAGGGGCACAACTACTCCAAACAACCAATATCAGGCTCTTCCTCCTCACCCTAAACCCTAAACGCCGTAAACCCTACAAACACCCTAAACCCTAAATCTTAGAGGCACGAAGCTGGGCCTTGCAACCGTCGGCCCTCTTCCAGTGGCGAAGTAGGGCGGAGGGTACCGCAAGGGCTACAGCTGCCCGTCCTCGTCCGACAATGAGAATGAGTATGAATAGAATACGGATGAGATATATACAAGGTTGAAACACCGTGTGCTGGTGTTCTGGGACTAGAATGAACTGCTTCAAGCAAACTCAATGGAACAGAATAGTTTACAGCTTGGCAAGGGATTGAACTGAGCGTTCAGCAACAAAAGCAAACACTCGAAAATTAGTCTCCTTCGCCCAAGCTGGTTATCCTACCCTTCCTACATCCTCCATTCGAAGAATGCAGTACTGTATTGTCAGTGTTTTGTAGGTATGCACCTATATGTACACATATATACATACGTAAGACGTACATACATACATACATATGTGTATATATATATATATGTACATATCATATACCTACCAGTACATGTATAAACATATAAATCCATGTATATATATATATATATATATACATATATATATATATATATATACTTATAAGTGTGTATATATACATATATTTGCGCATATGTATATATATATATATATGTATGTATATACTGACATCTATCTATCTGTATTCACATACATAGATATGTATGCAGATGTGGATATGTCCGTCCGCATCTGTGTAGGTGGTCATGGGCACAGTGCTGCACGTTGTACATAGATATGTATATACGCACAGTACAAGAAGGCCAGTGTTGCCAGCATTGTTGCTATTTCTGTCCTTGTTCTGAGCAGTACCAATTGAAGCAAGGACAGGTTTCTCCCTACAACGGTAGCAAGATAAGCAATGTGCGCTACACACATACATACATACATACATACACACACATATATATATATATATATATATTATGTCTATGCATATATATATATATAAGAACATATGTATGGAGGCATGCATACACACACATAGCAAGCGTATACCCACGCAAAACAGCAGGCCAAAGCTCCCAGGAGATCCGAGCTGTGATGGTCTCTTCTCCGCCTTGGTTCTGAGAAACCCTGGTTTGATTTGTTAGGCATGCCTAAAAAGGTCAAACCAGGTACTCTGGCGAAGTCACATTTCCAAATCGTGCAGAAGAAAGAGCGAGTTAATTGAAATATGGAAAGTCTAGAACATCAATAGGGAAGGACAGTGCTTGACCATGGAACCAGGTACGACTGGATACGTTCATGGTTTGCTGCTTGTCTGTCTTTGTCTTCCTCTCCTCGCTCTCTTTCTCCACCATCATTTCGAGGTATTCTGCATGTGTTCATGTGCTTCTAATTAAGTGCATTCGTTGTTGTTGCTGTTGCTGTTTTTGCTGCTGTTGATGATCTTACTATTGGTTACTTATCATTACTACTACCGCTACCGCTACCGCTACCGCTCCCGCTACCGCTACCGCTACCGCGACCGCTACCGCCACCACAACCACAACCACAACCACAACCACTACCACTACCGCTACCGCTACAGCTAGCACTACGACGACTACTACTACTGCTACTGCTAGTTACTGTTGTTGTGGTTGTTGTTGATGTCGTGGGTGGTGTTGGTGTTGTTGATGTTGCTATTGGTGTTGGTGCTAATGATGTTGTTGGTGCTGTTGGTGTTGTTGGTTGCTGTGTTGGTGGTGTTGGAGGTGTTTCGCGGTTGTTGGTGTTGGTGGTTTTGGGGGTGTTGGGGGTGATGTAGCGGTTGTTGCTGCGGTTGCTGTTGCTGCTGCTGTTGGTGTGGTTGTTGTTGCCGTTGTTGGTTGTGTTGGTGGTTGATGTTGTTGGTCTTCTTCTTCTTCTTCTTGTTGTTGTTGTTGTTGTTGTTGTTGTTGTTGTTGTTGTTGTTGTTGTTGTTGTTGTTGTTAATTGTTGTTGGTTGGTGTTGGTTGCTGTTGGTTGCTGCTGCTGAATGTTGGTTGTCGTTGGTTGTCGTTGGTTGTTGTTTGTTGTTCTTATTGCTCCTGTTGATGTTGCCGCTTTTTGCTGTTGTTGCTGTGGTTGTTGTGGTTGTTGCGGCTGTGGTGGTTGTGGTTATTGTTGTTGCTGCTGTTGTTGCTGTTGTTCATTTATCGTCGCTGCCTGCTTGCGCAGATAGGACTGGGGGCATTGAGACGTCAGGGTTGCGCCACTTGTGCTTCAGGTTTGTGGCGTCTTCCGTCACGCTCCAAAGGCGCATCGAATCTTTGCACGATGACTTCCTGTCGCCTTGGACAGCCCTTGCAGCTTTGAATTCCGGGTCCTTGAGACCCTGACTGTTTTGAAGCCATGGGCTGGAGGAGTCACACCACAACAGCAGGGTACATGGATCAGCTCTGGGAATCTTGGCCCAGCACTTGTGCTGCAAGTAATGCTGCGAAAACATGTCTCGCTGTCCTCCGCGGCTTGCGCATTTGAGCGGTAGGACGGTGCGAGCAGCTGTACTGTGCTTGTACATTGGTGTGGCACACGGGTGTGTCTACAACCTACAGCTAGCCAGGCTAATGAAATGCCAATAATTTAGCAAGAGCACGCACATTGGCGTGTGTTGAAACTGGCGACATGCTGTCTTTGCACTGTCAGGCGCATGTTGTCGAGATGGCATTGTCCCCAGTGCATACTGATTGCGACATGGAGTCGACAACAGAATCCAAGCCTTGCTTAATGCCAACATTGGAGCAGCAGTCGGAATCTTTGACGCAATTCACATAAGCAGCCACTGCAGCACAGGTCCCGGCCGTATCCGTGTCTGCCGCTTCGATGGCACTTTGATAAGTGGTCACACAAGCCTGACCCACGGCCACATTGCAGCCCGATGCTGTCGTGTCACTGGAGCTGTCTGAGTCCGAGCCACTTGAGCAGCCGTGGAGGCTCAGGGCCATTGCAATGGCTGCTACTGATAGCACCCTCGACATGCGCTCCATTTCATCCTCTCACAGGGCGCAGGCTCGAGCCAAGCACTGCTGTTGAGAGTTTCGATCCAAGCTTTGGCCGTCTGTTGGTATGTACTTGCATTCTGTGCCTGCGCTCGCTGCACGCGCTCGTGAAAAATCGAGGAAGCTGAAACTGAGGCGAGGGCTCGTGCAATCTTCGAGGGCTCTCCGTGCTGGCCCACGATGGACACACGCGTTGGCATGCAGACCTCCTGAGCGAGACAAGCTTCCATGACACAAGACTATTTCCTTGCTCCTAAAGTCATTAGGTCCTGCTCGCACAATTGCCGTCGAACTGACTTTTGAGCCAGGGATAGCAAGAAGGGCCATCTCTAGCTCCACACTGGACTCCCTGAAACTCCTTGTAACCGAAGGCAGAATGCAGGGAAACCCCTAATATGCCCTAATCCAAAACTTCAGAAAACCTCGGGCGCTGTGCAACCTGAAGAAACCCCAAGCTGCAACTGTAATGACATGGCTCCTGATTCTTATGAATGGCTAGGAACCTTGAAAACAAGCTGATTCATATCAGGCACAGGTCTGCTGCCCCAGTGCCTAAACAGAAGCCCCACGACAAGCCTGCAAGGACAGCCTACAGAAACGAACGAAGCCGAGGATTGACAAGCTCGAATCCCGACAGATCAAAATAATCCCAGAGCCCACCATACGAAAGGGCCCTAAACAATTGCAATACGGATTTGGGGTATCTTATTCCATAGTAGCTGCTTAGTTGCTAACAGCAAGGGGGCCCCAAAACTCCCACAATCCACGCTTGGATAAAAACTTCAGATATGGGAGTTTCCGACAATAGGGGACCCTAATATAGTACCCTTCCCTAAATAGTAGGATCTTTTTTGTAAGGACCCCAAAACAAGGCACCCCTAATTTTCGGAAACTCCCATATCTGTGCTCTGGGCCTCAACTCTCGGGCGAACTTAGGGAACTGTGCGGGTGAGCGGCTTTCGCAAGGCTGGGCCGTGGGGAGCCGCGTTGGCCTCAGTGCTGACAGACATGGTGGCAGTAGGGGTGGCCTTGGTGACAGTGGCGGTGGTGGTGCTTGTGTTGCACAGTTTCGATCACATTAAGTTAGCGTCCCGCTGTCCATGCTATTGCTCTCAGCCGTGGCAGTGTCGTTGCTCTTTCGGTTTCGGGTCTCAGGTGCGGAGACATGAATGTATTATTGCAAAGGCATTTCATGCATTGTTGCAGAATACGACGAGTGCAAGACTATCTGGCTGCGGGCATGAGTGAATAACTCTGCCTCAATCTAAGCCAAGAATGGGTGTAGGAGTTCAGCACAAGGATTCTACCCTAAGGCCCCACAGTACCTCCTTTTTGTGGTTCATTTTTAGAATCCTATAAGGTAATCCCAAAAAGGAACTACTTTGGGGCGTATGGATAGTGCCATACCTACTCTTCAAGCACAGCTGAGGTTGCCACTGTCTGCCCATCGAAGGCCAGGTGCTCCCACCTCGAGGTTTGACACAGGGCCAGGGTCTAGCGTTCAGGGTTCAGGGTTCCAGGTTTAGAGCTTTGACGTTTCAAGTTCAAGGCGAGACAGGTTTCTAGCCGCTGTTGAACTGCCACTCAAGCGTCAGCGGACTGCCCGGAGAGGACTCTGGAAAGCAATGGTTGGTGACCTATGACCCATGTGACCTGCTGAGGACCTGACAATGGCTACTTTCTACGGTGGGGCACGGGTCGCTGTCTGGGTCAGGAGTCTCCTAACAGATCACTCTATAGACCTACTCTTGGACTGCTGTTCTAAGGACCGAGTCGCTGTGGAGGTGCTGCCATCAAATGTCACCTCTGCTGCAGGGATCGATGCCGTATCCTCGATTCGTCCTTAGTTTCCATAGACGGGTTTTGCCTTGAGCGTGTGGTGGGCGAAACGGCCTTTGGGCTTCAGGGCTTCTGTTCTCCTCCGAGCTTGCCAGACCCTTAACCAGCTGAGCCACCACTAAGCAAGTACGACATATTTGTGCCGCAGGCATTTGGACTCGAGACATTGCGCGCCAGGACCCGACATGCAACTGCAATGTGGATCTGAATAGACACACGGCCTGAGCTCATTCCTTCTTGTGATGATGCTGGCTCCGGTGATGATGCTGATGATGCAGATATTTCTGTTGGTGACGACTTTTACTAGCATTGGTACCGGTGCAGGTTACCATCATTATGGCAGTATTGATCTCGCGATATGCTGGCTGCGAGTGGTGAGTGGTTGCTGCAAGAATGCTCTTGTGACTGTAGCTCTGGAAGTGACAGGCCAGTTGATCTAGCGGCAATGTCGTCTGGCACTGGACAATGACTTTGCTACTAGGGTACAAGGCTTGAGCCTGTCAGCACATCAGACAATGTCATGCCTTTTTCTACCAAAAAGTTCTAAACAAGGATATCTCGTCAACGACACGACTCTTCACAGATGTCTACGACCAGTCCTGTTCCAGGAATCCCTAATCTGCCAAGCATTCCTTGCATCCACATATGCGACGCTTCAGACAGTGAGAGACCTAGAATATTTTGTAAGGGAGCAGAGACCCTCTCAACCCGTACGTGCCTGTAGTATTACAAGTAGCATAGCAAAATGCAATAATATATAATGCTACACTGGAACACCCTACTAGTAGCCGGTGAGCATGGCTCGCACAAATCGTGGAAACGACGTGGGCTGGGTCACGGGACTGGCCAGAAGGAAGGGGGGTGTGATCATGTTGCAAAAAGCTCTAACTGATTGTGGTTGCCAATACATATAGAGATACTGCAGGAAGAGTGTGCATACATATATATATATATATACACACACAAAGGGACTTATCCTGGATCCTATCGTAACTTCTTCCTACCCCGATAAAATGGTTTTGCAGTAACAGTGGGATTGACTGCTTCTACGTAGGCGGCGCAAGGTCTGTACCGGAAGTTGGAGCCAGCTCCCGTACCGAAACTGCACAATGATAAATGGACTTTAATGGATCATGCTGCCATCCGGTCCCTCCTCTTCGCCACTCTTCTTCCCTACCGGCACCCTGACCCTGAAAGGACAGTAGTAGTAGTAGTAGTAGTAGTAGTAGTAGTAGTAGTAGTAGTAGTAGTAGTAGTAGTAGTCGTAGTCGTAGTCGTAGTCGTAGTCGTAGTCGTCGTCGTCGTAGTCGTAGTCGTAGTCGTAGTCGTAGTCGTAGTCGTAGTCGTAGTAGTAGTAGTAGTAGTAGTAGTAGTAGTAGTAGTAGTAGTAGTAGTAGTAGTAGTAGTAGTAGTAGTATTCGTAGTATTCAAAAAATAGTAATACTGAGAATACTGGCTGACTGGACGAAAGCGATCTTTCTCTTTTGCCCAGCGGGGCGTTCCACGCCGAAGGGAGATGCAGACGTCTCTGGTCGTGGTGGAGCTGAAGAGGCAGCCAGAACATGTTCTTCTGACCGTAAGTTTTCAAGCCCAATGTGGCAACTGAAGTCACCCAGCCCTTGCAGTATGCCTATACATGTCAATACATCCCGGTGCCTTGGAACTTGGAACGCTACACCTTGTGGGTCCCCTTGTGTTCAAAGGCCCAGATCCGGCCAGGGCTGTCCCTAAACCCTAAACTCTATACACCATAATAGAAAATGTGTTTAAGATGCTCTTGGGTTTTCATATGAACCAAAATGGAAAAAATAATTCCTAAGGAGACTATAGAACCCTAGGCCGGATGTAAACTGGATCTCAGGGTTTGGCTGCGCTTCACTTCACGGGGAGCGCTCAGCAAGCGATGAAACAAGCCTCGGTGTTCAAGAAGGCTAAGTTATGAGATAAGATGGTGCAAATATCATGTAATATGATCTAATTAATATAATAGTAAGATTATACAATATGGAATACTATCACATAGTATTATGATAAAACTCTATCCCCCAAATGTCTAGCCAGATATGTAGCTTCAGCTCGTTCGCTCTTGTTTTCTGCGCGACACCAAGCATGTTCGCATCTAAGCTGTCCCCTCCCAGGGCCTCCCAAGCGGAAGCCCTGTCAAACTTTGCAGAAGCTCGAATGTGGCGTCGCGCAAGTGCCGGACATTGGCACACATAAACTTTCAAACAACCACCTTCGCGACTTCTGGCTCCGCCTTCGCGACTTGTGAAACAGCCTTCGGGCTGCGTGGGCTCACCTTCGTAACACCTCGGACAATGGTCTTCTTGTCCACACCACCTTAGCCATGCGTCCAGCCTTAATGCAAACCTTTTTTTCGCGAATGTATCTACAGAAGACCCCCAAGCTACTGCCCAAAATCGTTATGCAATTGGCACTTGCTGGATGCCGAGATGCCATGGGAGTATCTGGTGATGTACATGGCATCGTGCTGGATGACGACGTCCATGAAGCCATACCCGTCATCCTCCCCTGTTTTGCTGGGCAGGATCTCAGAAGTGATGCCTCCCCCTCCTCCTGAAATCACGAAAGCCGTCTCCCCAAAGGTCGTGTTGGTGTGCTGCAAGTGGGTGTGGCCGCTAACGTAGAAGTCGACGCCATATTCGACCTCGGAACGCCGTCGGATCCAAGGCAGCATGTACAGCAAGGAAGCTGATCACTGCGTGGCCAAGCGACAGAGCCTGGAAAAGGACTTGAAACCTCCCACGCCATTGAACCTTAACCCGCCCAAAGCCCCGAAGCCCAGACCTGTCAAGCAAGATGCGAGATAGCTCTCCCAGGTAGAACGGCAGGGCTCGAAGTTCGGCGGGTAGTGGGTTACGATGATCCTCAGTAAAAAGGCAAGGGTTTTTAGGGTCTAGGCTGGTGGGGTTCATGCTTTCGCCGTGAATCTCGCGCTCTTCAGGCTTGCATTCGTTGATGCTCTGTTCCAGGATATCTTGCCGAGGCCCTACATTGAGTGCTTCAAAAGTCACGAAACATGACATATGTATATCATGTGTTGGTGGCATTGCCAGTAAGTGATCTGTCTTCTCTGGACAGTCCCGAACGATCTAATGTTATAAGAATCTCTGCAGGCTACAGCAGGACTTGCAGTTGGAATTTCCAACCAGGGTCAGGGCATGTTGACTTGCATGTATTTTGCATTTGCGGTTTGCGTTTTTTTTGCATTTCAAACGCCTTGCGTTTTTTTTGCATTTGCGGTTTGCGTTTTTTTTGCATTTCAAAATCGCCTTGCGTTTTTTTTGCATTTGCTGTTTGCTTTTGTTTGCAGCTTGCGTTTTTTTTGCATTTCTAATTTGCTTTTAATGCAGGCTTGATTTGTTTTGCACTGCTGGTGGTGGTGGTGGTGGTGGTGGTGGTGGTGGTGGTGGTGGTGGCCGCGGTGCTTGCTACCAATGCACAACAAGCAACTCAAGGACCAAGTTCTGTCCAGCGCTGGGGAAGTTGTTATACTGCTTACACATCACTTGCACCGCATCCGAATGTGCCCTCAAACCCTAAACAACACTGACGGCGTGCCTCCAAGTTTGCGATCCTTTCTTTCGTGCACTGGTTGTGACTCGCAGTGCGGTGAATGGTGAACTATGAAGTAAAGTTCGCAAGAAGCCTGCATTTGCCCGGCCGCAGCAAGTTCTCTCGCAGAAATTGAGGACGACCAAAATGCAGCAAAAAATGCAATCCTGGAAGCCGCGGCCGGCCAAAATGCAAAAAAAACGCAAACCTGGAAACAGAGCCCGGCCAAAACGCAAAAAAATAATGCAAAAAAAATGCAAAAGCTTGCGGCCATTGCCGAAACCATTAAAAAGTGGAAAATTGGCCGTTTCCTGGAGCATTTGCATTTTTTTTGCATTTTGTTTGCGTTTTTTTTGCATTTTGTTTGCGTTTTTTTTGCATTTTTTTTGCGTTTTTTTTGCATTTTTTTTGCATTTGCTGTTTGCATTTTTTGATGTGTTGCGTTTTTTTTGCATTTGCGATCCGCGTCCGCCACCGCTTCGTCACCCGAGTTTGAGTCACTGGATGATGCCCATCCCATGATCCGCAGTTGCCTACAGGCCTAGTGTCCTCGTAAGATAGTGTCTGAGTCCCAGAACCTAGTGACCATGGCACGTCGTCTAGTTGCAAAACCTCACAACTGTCAATTTCGAAACACTGTGGAATGACGTATTGGCTGAACACACAAAGCAAGTCAGCAACGACCAGGGACAAATCTGGATTGCTTGAGGAAAGCCGGAGAATGCAGCCAAGATTCAGGTTCATCTTCAAAGCCACAACGAAGATTTGAGGCAGCAGGCAAGCATTGTAGCGGGATTACCCACACATGCAAACCAGGAACACCAAGAACACATAGACGCCAAAAGAATGCAAACCGGGAACACAAAACAAATGCAGACTCCAAAAGCATGAAAACCCGGAACACAAAAAAAATGCAAAGACAGAATAAATGCAAACACAAAACACAAAGAAAATGCAAACCCGGAACACAAAAAAAATGCAAAGACAGAAAAAATGCAAACACAAAACACAAAGCAAATGCATAGGCAAGAAAAACGCAAACCCGCAACACAAAATAAATGCAAACATAATGCAAAACATAATTCTGGACACCCACCCAGTCTGTAGCCCAAAGATTCTTATAAATCTAATGGAAGACCTCTAAAGTGAAGGCAGCGCGGGAAAATTGATTTTGATTGTTTGCGGTTATGATGAAGCCTCAACTTCAAATCCGAGCTCTCAGGGGAAATCCAGTTTCGAGATCCAGGGCACTGCCACTCAGCAGTAGATGCCTGAAGCTCCTTCGCAAGCCAGTCCTTCTGCGCCTCGCAGGGTGACGCTTCTCGGTGCGACTCGCGAAAATGCTCCTATCGTCTGCCTGTCCACCATAAGTCGAACACGAATATCGAAGCCGAGCGGAACCGATCACACTACCAACCACAAGCCGAGTCTCCTTCCACAGGTCGTCAAAGAACTTCCAGCAGGTGTCTGGGCTGGATATCGATGTGCCATTGCATCCCAGGGGCTGGGGTGGCTGATTGTGAGATCGGGCACAAATGTTGTGCTCCGGGTCGGCATCCGGATTGCCGTAAGTATCCACCTTGTTGGTGTCCACGAAGAAGAACTCTGCCTTACTCATGAACATCGTCAGGCTTTCGCCGCTATGTGCTAGAGGCCGGGGCGGGGATCTTGGGGACTGACCTGTGCCATCATACCTAAACATGTGTGTATATATACACACACATGATAATATGCATGTTGGTGTATACATATATATATATATATATACATATGTACATGTACATGTACATGTAGATGTATGTACTCATGCATGTAGGTATGTATGTAAGTGTATACATAGATGTGTGTGGGCTTTTTACATACATACATGTGTATATATATATACACATACATATACACATGCATACCTGTATGTGCATACATGTACATACACACACACACACATTTGACGACGACATCCACACGGATGTACACAGGTATCGCGCAAGGTCTGCATGTGCATGTAGGGTTATGTGGGTGTATGTACCTGCCAGCCTGACTGCCTGCCTGCCTACCTGAGTCCCGATTGCCTTCTTGCCTACACCGGGTTAACTACCTACCTGCGGACATGCATCCATCCATCCATGAATCCAAGGATGCACACACACGCTCGCACACACATGTCCATATTAGCACTGGTAGACGATGTGCACAGACACATACACATCATGTAGATACTGATATAGCTATAGAAGTCGATATAGAAAGAGATATAGACAAAGATATGGATGTAGATACAGGCACAGGTGTGGAGATAGAAGTGATGACCTGAACGGGATGCAGAGCTCCAGAGAGAGGCTTCGACATAGACTTATACTTAAATGTAGACTGGTGACTGTTACGGCTGATGATGATGATATATATATATATATATATACATACATACCCTGCATTACCCAAAAAAGGGAATCTACCATGATTCCCCATAGTTTAGGCTCCTGAAGGACATGCAGGACTTACATCATCAACCGTATGCCCCTAACGTCGCAACCCCGATGTCCGAGGATCGCTTCACTCGCAGTACCCTATAAGGGTACTAGAATTTAAAGGGGTCTATGAGGGCTACTATAAGGGTATTATACGTAAGTATCACCAAGCTTCGGAGAAGTTTCGAAACTGCGCTGCTCGCTTCCAGTACAAGGCGGGCGTGAGCCAGCGACTCTTGGGCGAATTCCAGGTGTAGAAGATGTTCTGATCCTGGGGTTTAGGGTTTAGGGTTTAGGTTCCCCAGTAGCCCCTTAATAACCAAGGTACTCTTTTTCCTGCTAGTTGGTTTTAACCGAGGAAGCCACAAAGAAAACGGGCAAATGGATACTACTGGGGAGCCGAGGATCCCAATGGACATTGTAGTGGTAGCCTCCATAGTCGTGATTGCCCAGCACGCCCCACCACTCAACGCCGTCCAAACCAGGGCCCTGCAGGGTTGAAACTGGTAGCGGGACCAGGGTGCAACCGAACAGGAAATCCGCTGCGAACAGCATATCTCTGGGCCTTGTACACGTTCTCGAAAACGTTCGTGAATATGATCTGCCCCGCCTTGGAGCCCACTAGCTTAGAAGTCACAGCAAAACTCGCAAAAGTGAGATATCAGTCTATTGTACGTCCTCCCTGCACCGCTCAGGTACAGCTTATGCTCGTACTTGTCAAATATATATATATATATATATATATATATATATATATATATATTCATACTCATTCATATACATATAATATGTTAGAAGCGCTTAGTGTCAATGCAATGAGAAGTAAGAAACACTGAACACTGCAACGAGAAGAAGTGGTCTCCATACACTTGCACTGCGCCACTATTATGGATTTGCAGCATTAAGCGGCCGGATCTGTTTTGTCCGTCTCGGCGTTGCAGGTGCCAGGGCTACTGATGCCTGGACTGCTCGAAATACCCGACGTTGTTTATCGTAGCTCTTCTCGTCCACTTAGAGTCTACAACAAAGGAAGAGCAAAAGTGTTCCCGAACAGAGACAAAATTCCACCAGGATAGAAGTTGTCACCTGCGGGAGAGGGCACTTTGAGGAATGACTACTACTACGACGACTACCACGTCGACTACCACCACGACGACGACGACGACGACGACTACTACTACGGCGACGACAGATACTACTCCTACCACCACTTGTCATAACTGTGTCATATTGATAGTAGTGCTGCTGGTAATGGCAACTTCTTTTGGGATGACAGGTGTTGAACACGGTTTTAACACCATGAGTGTCCACAAGTGGACTATTACTTCGTTGATGTGGTGACTTTTGCAAAGCTGCTGACACTCTTGCCCTCAGGTCACCCACGTTGAGCACAAACTTCGGCTTCAAGTCAGCAGCGACTTCAGCCATCTTGTCCGCGACATAGGTTTGAGCATGAGTGTCCTGGTCTCATCTTTGAATCCCTTTGAATATAGTATACCCTGAAGCTCACGACGCTCTGAAAATTGGAAGTCCGACAGGCAATCACACTTCGGGCCTCAAAAGTTCGTGGACCCTGCCCGGCTTCGTAACACGACGGACATATTAGTATCAATGTGTACTCGGCGCCCCGTATACCTGATAAGAGCCGGGAATCAATAGGATCGATGACGGTCGGCCGGTTCTTAAATGTGACCGGTGGTCCGGAGCCACTAACGATGCCACCCCAGTCACCTGCACATCGGGCTTCAGGGTATAGATTTGCGCCAACGCCGTGCTTGATAGTACAAACCAAATCTACGTACAGCACAAGCGCGGGGTTTTGTACGGGTGACCTGTCGGGGAGTGCCGGCCTGAAAGGCACGCAAAGAAGCAAAAATCAAAAACAATAACTACACTACCTCACAGAGGCAAGAGGCCAATGATGAAGTAGCGCTGCTCCTCCGTTCCATTGAAGCATGCCGCGGGCCACTCCTTGCCGTTGTAGTCCAGAGCATTCTTCGGCATCACCGGCCATGAGACGTTGCTGGGATCCGGGCATTGAAAGGCACAGCTGCCGAAGTGCAAAGATCCGGTATCCGAGCTGTTGGTGTCGTTCAATTTGAGAAAGCCATAGGGCTCTTTGCAAGCGACGCACCCAACAGCGCTGCTGCACTTCTTGGATTTGCCGATGCCTTGCGAGAAAGGGGGGAGGGGCGGGCGAATGCTTTGAGGATCTGCAGTTTCAAAACTTCAGCCCTGTTGCACATGCATTTCGAGCACTGCCCTCTCTTCATGGACTCATCACAGGCCGTCTCCATTGGTCCGGACTTATCGCCGCTGCTCGGATCGTTACATCCGCTGAGACTGAGGACAACGGCGAATAAGCCGCCCAGCAGGCATGGAATCTGAACCTGAAGCACACGGGACGCGACACCGGCGAATAAAAACACAGGTCCACTGTTTGAATATCCCTTCCTGCCGTGCCATCTCAACAGACACACAGTCAACTGCACAGCGAGCCTGCATCTCGCTGCAGCCGGGTGCAGCGATGGCAAGTTGTGGCTTCGGAACAAATCAGCTGCGGCGTTATCCGACCACACACTCCGTTGTACACGATCTTACAAGGGCTGTTCTGAATGAAGCAGTTCAAGCTTCCATCCCTTCTTCTGGAACACTGGGCAGTTCAACCGAGACACCGCGAAAGCTCTCCGATTTCGAGACACGACCACCGGGCTTCACTTCAGCTCCAGTCTGGTTTGGAGTACCACCGTGCTCGAACTGAAGACCATGTTCAAACACTATTGGGACCTTCCGCCCCTCCAGGCTTCAACAATGGCAGGCTCGTGGCTCATGACACACAAGACTATAGGAGGATTGCTAAATACCGGTGTTTTCTCCGCCTACCCGAGGCTCTCATGACGACCTTGAAGCAAGCTCAGCACTGCTTTACAGCATCCCAACTCACTTCGTATGTCGAAAAAGTCGGATAGAATAAGGATGCTTATAAGCAAGTCTCTGACCCCGCATACCTCCCTTGCTCGCAAGCTGTGGCCTCCATTCCCTTTCCGCAGTAACTACCCCAGAACTCCCATTGGGCTAAAACCCGAAGTCCCGGCTTTATGGCCAGGGGCACGGCACACTACCCGCTTCTGTTCCAGCTCGCATTAGAACTGTGGCTTTAACAGGTTGAGCGGCAGTCGCAAGCATGTTCCCTTTTGTATGTATTGTCTCATTTCCGTCAGCTATGCACCTCCAGAGAGCCATGTTGGCTGAGAGAGTGGGACACCGCACCAATATGAAAAGAGGCAGGGATTCCCATCCCATTACCCCCTGTACTGCGGCGTCCCAGAGCAAAGCGAACAAGCTTGGGCACTGCCTCCAACAAACCAACACTAAAGAAACACAGATACACCATCCAGTGCACCAAAACCCTGACCTGCCCAAGTTCAGCATTCACACCTGCCCCTCTGCATACCCCAAGATGAGGTCTACTCGCGCTCCGTAACCTTACCATATAGTCTCGCTCGGGCAGTTGGTGTGCTGAGTCACGGAGATCGTCTCAACTTGCGGGAAAGAGAAGTCGGCAGGATCGCTACACCGCACGTACACAGTTCATACGCACGACCCTGACCTGCCGATCATGCACACTTGCCCTTTTCGCATCCCTATAACACTCAGCAAGCACTATACATGCCCTATCCCAAAACGTAACACCTCACCCTGGGCATTTGGTGTATATATATATATATATATATATATATGCATGGAGATCATCTCAACGCGCTAAGGAAGTCAGGCTGCGAGGCTCAAGCACCACAATAAGGCACTGGTCTCAGAGAATGTCGACCAACCCACGCCTGAACGCTTCAACGCACGTCTGTCAAAAGAGACTCTGAACTGTCCACGCCCGGCAGCAGCACCCGTCTGCCCACTTTGTGCAGACGAGTAGAAACATGACAGGCGCCGTAAGCGCACCTCTACAATAATATTCTTCACCCAGCAACTTCATTGCTCTGGGGCCAATGCTACTGTCATCTCGATCTCCACACATTCACCCCGGCTGACGATGAAGAACGAAGATGCTGCCACCTGAGATTCCGCACATGTCCATCGGAGACTACAACGTTCATCTGCGTGCTACACGCTTATCCTTAACTTTGGTTAGTAGGGAATGGAAGAATGGTAGTAATAGTAGTTATAATTGTACCCCATTCCTCCATGCCCTACTAACCAAAGGTAAGTTATCACAAGCTTCAGAACCGCGCCTCTTGCTTCGCACCCTTCTTCAGGTCGGCGATCTCTGGCTCCAGCTGCCTCCAAAGGCGGCCAGCCAGGCTGGCAGGGCTGTCAGGGCAAAATAAAGCCTGGGCTCCGGAGACCAAGAACGGCAACAAGAGAGCAGCTCGACTGAGCCATATCTTCTGCTTCACAAAGCCCAGGGCCGCGATTGCCAAGGCCACGAAGCCACAAAGTTGCAGTTGGTTCGCCTGTGGTTGCGCATATGGCCTCATGATCCAAATCAAGATTGCTGTAGCCAGCGTGATTCCCACCACAAGAAGTAAAGACACGTCGTATGCCCGGTTGATGTCGCTGGAGAAGGCCTGCAAAGCAGAGATAGGTGTCATGGGGTCCGCACCCTGGGAAAGAGAAAGAAAGCTACCTCATGACACCAGCTTGCACTGTCGTTTCCCACTCCGTTCGGAAAAGACTAAACGAGGCTAAGTATTGCAAGACAGCAATAAGCTTCCACTGTGAATTTTCCCAAAGGAATGGAAAGTACTTCTATGCTTCGATTTCCCCAGATTGGAACATGCTGCCAAAGCTTCGCAATGGCCCACACGTGCATCTGGCTTCGTGTTGGACACATGAACTAAACAAAACAAGACATCTGAGACCGGAAGAGGTAAGTGAGGTCGGCATGGCCTCCGTGTTGGACACCACTTGCACCAGCACCACGGAAACAACCTTGAGCACAATTTCCATCCACACGTTCCTGCAAAGCGAATATTTCTGCAGCATCGCTTTCATGCCGACCAGGAAACGGTCAGATGCCTTCTCTTCAAGGATGCAATACTCCATGAGCATCTCAGTGATGGCAAACGGCACATCCTCGCTCCCCAGGCTCACATTCGGCAGACCGCGGCTCTCACCGTGAGAAGCCTGAAAAGTCAAAGCGGCCGACTGATCTGACAGCAGCACCCGCAAGTGGACACTGCAAACTTCCAGCGAAGGCTCTGAAAGGCGCACTTCAGACACGTACGAGGATGCATTGGCCACAACCGTTGCGACGAGGCGTCTGGCAAGCACAAGGTCTTTGAACGCCACGGCTGCTGTGCTGTCATCCTTGATGCAGCTCTGGACGGGCATCCTCTCATGCCGCAAGGCATGGTGCTGTTTTGCGTAAAGGTATGCCAGAAAGGAGGGGATGAGGACTGCGTAACCAAAGAGACACGGCCAGAAAAGGGCTCGGGTAATGTTGGCTTCAGCCCCACCGTCCTCGCAGGAGACATGAGGCAGATTCTTCAAAAAGGCAAACTCCTGCAACTTCTCCCCATATGCATCCACGCGCTGGCACATTTTCAGAGCAGAGCATTTGTAAGCCCCGCCGATGAACAGCATGGTTAGCACCTTCAGCGAAGTATTGATACCCAAGCCATGTTGCTGGCGCTCCAGGCCAAAACAGCCAAGGAATAACACCAGGGGAAAGACTGGCGATGCAAGTGCCAGGAGCCAGCGAGTTTGGCTACCACCGAAGCTACACTGCAAACTCGCGATGTTTGCGAGGTTGCTCATCGCCAACTGCAAGCTTTGGATGTAGGGAATCTCCCAAGAACTACCATCTTCACCTGGACCGCTGGCGCGAAATAAGAGGGCCATGACTCCCCACAGTTGGGTAAGCTGAAGCAGCATGGGCACCTCAGTTTGCATCAGCGTCACCTGCAAGCTGCCCAAATAGCCTGGAGCAAAGCAAAGTTGCCGCATGCGCAGCTTGACCTGTTCCAGTTGCCGTCTCAAGACAGCAGCATCCCTCGTGGCAAAAGCAGAGGCCATGCCAAAACAACCGCCCGCCATAATCACAGCGGCAACTGCAGTCATCCAAGAAGGTATAGCATCTCGCCGGCAGACTTTGCACAACTTCCCACTGGCGTAGAACCCCTCCATGCAATCCATGCAAAGGGGTCCACGGTATCCAGTTGCACATCCCATTTCGGATGCAGTTTCTCTGCGACAGCGCTGTGTGGCTGGAGCTAGACATCGGAAGACTCTCGTTGAGAATCTTGGAGCAATTCTGGCGAAGCCCTCTTCAGGAGTCGCCGAGACCAATTGCGTGTTTCTCTGGGGACAGTGGAGGTGCCGTTCACTGCAGTTCTCGCAGCGGTCGTCGAAGTTTGCGTATCCCGGGGGACACCCGCATGTCGGTTTCCTGTGCAGGTAAACCATGTCGACACCGCCGTCGCACTTGCAGTCCTTGCCAGAAGTGGCACCTGCCGCGAGCGTGGTGCTATTCCTGGCTCTGCAAGGGAAACTGGTGCTTGTTATGTAGACTTCATTGGCTATGTATATATGATTGGAGAACTCGAGAAGAGGAGAATGTTCAAACATGGCCCAGATTCAGAGGGCAAGTTGAACACGTTGGCTCGTCATGTCCTTTGCTGAACTTGCCTACTGGGCACCGCGTGCAGTTTGTAGCCTTGCCAAACCACCCTGGCATACATTGGCACCATTCGGGCATGATCTGTGAAGGCGTGATTTGCAAGGAGCCAGCCTTCAAATTGTAGCACCTGAAAGATGCGTTTCGATCATGGAATGACATGGCTTCCGTTCGACCCAGCTTGCCTTCCCGAAGCAGCGTTTCAAACTCTGAGGTTTCAAAGGTTGTCCACCGAAAATCCGCCCAACGATTCGAATCCTTCACAATGTCGTGCAGCACGTTCGAGCCAAACTTCAACCTGCCTTGGTTCTCGCGGACCTTCAAGATGTGAGATGATCTTGGAACCTGAAGTTCCTCGATGTTGTTGTTGGACAGGTCCAATATCTCCAATGAAAGCGCGAGAGGAGGCGTGAAATCAAAGTTGAAATTGCCATTCAGCTTCACTGGAGGCATGGGCCTGAGAGAGGGCACTCGCCCAACCAAGCCGCTCTGTACCGCTATCAGGCTGGCAAGGCTGCAAGCTGCCAAAGGTAAAACCAAATCCTCCGCTGGACCATCCAGCGGACATCCTTAGCTTCACGACAGCTCATCTCAGAACTGGAAAGATCGATGCGATCTACGTAGTGCTGTGTCGAATCGCGAAAGTTTCCTGATGAGCCTGTTGCTTGTTTTGCCGCCGCATCCCTTTCGACATCCGTTTAGATGCGGGCCTAGACACTGGCCCACAATACGAACTTCAGCTGTGTCAGCTTGCCCAAAGTGTGGCTGCTGTGTTCACAAGTTGAAACTGTGACAAACAGCCCTTTACTTACGGTGGGTCCCCTAACACATAACAAATCTTGTGTGGCGATTACCCTGCATAACCTCGCATTTCACTGAGCTCTCCGTGCACGCAACACTGGTACTCGAAAAAGCTGGGGCTTGTCGTTGAACGATCAGGAGCTCCTAAACACAGCTTGCGAATGCCTGCCCACCTAGCCCGAAAAGGCCCTTGGTACGGCATGAATCCCTACGCAAACCAGAGCTTGTCGCAAAACCTTGCAGAGATTCGCAGCTGCCGCGACCTGTGTCATCACGTACACCGATATGTTGCCGCCAGAGGTTTAAAGTGCTGAAAGCACCACAAATCTCTTGAAGTTTCCTCCAAGCGTCCTGATATTTCCAGGACTTTGAGAGCAGGCAAGAGGGCCATATCTGGCGTGGTCCACCTGAGCATGTGTCTGTGGCTTCTGGACATGGAATGCATGGAATTGCACTTGGACGACTGCCCATATCTTAGATACTCAGCAGCATGAGTACTTGAAATGGAGTCATGGAGCACGACTGCCACCGAGCACGACGGCTTCATGAATGTCACGGAGTCTACACTTAAATGTTTTCAAGAAGTCGTGGTCCAAGAGCCAGGCAGACTGAGAACCTTCGAAAGCTTTCGTGAGGCTGGGGAGGAAACCGGAGTGTTGGGAAACACACAGTGCCCCTCAAGCCTGCCCGGATTTTGTGCTGGGTGCCTGGGGAAGACTATTGAGACGTGTGCATACTGTGCAACATCGCAATCCCGACCCACAAGACAACAACACAAAATCAAGACGAGATGCAAATTCAGAAGTTCGAGCCGGTCCGGTCCAGTCGGCAGCCAACTGATCTTGCTTCTTGACAGTTTCATTGTGCGAAGCAAACTGCAGCGTCCTCTCCATCTCTCGGTCAGCTTGCCATCGACATTCGTGTCCGAAAGATCAATAACCTCGGCAGCCTTCCAACTCAGAATGGCATCAACGTTCCCACCTATGTCTGTGGATCCCAGATAAATGTGGGAGAGCATGTCGCTAACAAACAGAGAGCCGATGTCACCTTTCACGGCAGTGGAGAAAATGTCTAGCGTTTGGAGTTGCTCCAGGTGAAGGTGCTCGAGATTTCCATACACACTGGTCTGTGCCAATCGCATGTCTTCCAACAGCGGCGTTCGGTTCTGGAAAACTTGAATGTCACCTCGGATTGCAAAGCTGTCACCTCTTGCGGAAGAGAGGCGCAGCGTCTTGAGCATCGGAGTTGCTGCAAAAACGCTGATGTCTCCGGAGACTGTCGTATAAGCGAGATTTATGAACTTCATCTTTGAGGTCGACGTGAAGATTTGAATATCTCCGAATACACTGGTCGACTCAAAACCAACATACCACAGCTTCTCCTTGGAATGGAGCACGGAAATGTCTCCGGACACATTGGTGTGCGACATCGACACCTGGTGCAAGTTTTCCATGCGCTCCAACGCTGCGATATCTCCGAAAAACTTTGAACGTGCAAGTCCAAGATAGATTAGCTTGGTTGCTGAGGCGAACACATCGATGCTTCCGAAAACAGCTGTGGAAGCTAAGCCCAGCCCTTCCAAGCTGGGAAAGTGCGCAAAGACCTGGATGCTTCCCGAAACCTGTGTGTGACTCAGGTACAGCTCTATAAGTGAAGGGCTCGAAGCTTCAAAGGCTGCAACGTCACCGTGGACCCGAGTTACGTCCAGGCCGAGCCTTTCGAGCTTCCTTGCAGTCTTAAATGCACAGATGTCACCGACAACAGAAGTTGCATCAAGCCTGAGAACTTTCAACTCCGGCATGAAGCGGAAGACCGAGACGTTTCCAACGACTTGTTCAAGTCCATGAAGGTCTAATGACTCCAGTTCCCGCATGTTTTCGAAACTCCCAATGTCGCCCCGAGCAGCAGTCTCTCGTAAGTGCAACGTTCGCAGATTTGTCAACCTTGCCAAGTCACGAACGTCTCCCGTAACCTGCGTGTGTTGCAAGTTGAGCTTGGTCAGATTCGTAAGCACCTGGAAATCCTGGACGTCTCCCCGAACTTGTGTGTTTTTGGCGTGAAAATGCTGTAGCCCAGCTAGCGATCTCAGCTCGGAGATGTCTCCCTTGAACCTGGTATCTGAAAGATCCAAGATCTCGAGATGTGCCAGCGATGCGAAAGCTACAATATTTCCTGACAAACTTGTGGAGGAAACGTCCAAACTTCGCAACTTCTTCAGGTTGGGGAAGCTGTCTCCCTTAACCTCCGTGTGTTGCAAGTCGAGCTTGGTCAGATTCGTAAGCACCTGGAGATCCTGGATGTCTCCCCGGACTTGTGTGTTTTTGGCGTAAAAATGCTGTAGCCCAGCTAGCGATTTCAGCTCGGAGATGTCTCCCTTGAACCTGGTATCTGAAAGATCCAAGATCTCTAGGTGTGCTAGGGCTGCGAAAGCTACAATTTCTCCTGACAAACTTGTTTCGGAAACGTCCAAACTTCGCAACTTCTTCAGGTTGGGGAAGCTGTCGATTGTGGCGTTGATGTCCCTGCGCCCACGGAGCTGAATCTCGACAACGAAGAATCCCCGACATTTGATACCCGGCGATGAGCAGACCTCCTCCTGGATCTGGATGCCGATGTGCCTGTAGAACTCTTCAACAGACTGCTGCTCGGCCTCACAATCCGGATGCTCTTGCTCTGCATTGTGTCGCTCATCGTCGGCCAGGAACACAGGCGCTATAGCTTTCGAGTGCTGGCTTTGCCTGTGTGGACGGCCTTGTGAATCAAAGATGGCATCCACAGCCAGCTGCTGTGAGAGTCTCTGGTATCTTTCTGCAGCACTCAGGCATGCGAAAGCAAGCCAAGTCTGCAGCAAGCGGCCATTGCTGCTCATGGATGGCTGGACTGACGGACGTCACAAGCTTGTAATGCTACATGGGCTAGCATGCTAAAGGCTAGGGAATGTCTGCATCGGGCAATCCGTCACGAGATGCTTGCAGGCTACAGACTTTCTGTACCTGGAAATGCAGCAGCCAGGATGCACGTGCAAGATTCAAGGTAAAGAAGCGGAAGCCCGAGCCGCGCAATGACAGTTTCAAACAGAGCTGAGAAGACCGAGACTACTGCCAACTGGCCGATGGGATCCTGGCTCACCAACTGCAAGCCAAGGAAATCGTCGTCCAGCCATGTTGGGGCAACCCAGCCAGCAAGCAAAAACGTGTTTGAATTCTGAAAGGCATTAGCGAAGATCTTGCCAAGCCAGTGCTAGATAGCTATGCCTTTGCCGTCACGTGGTCAAGCGGCGACCGTACGGGAAAAAAGAAGCAAGCTTTGGGCCTGACGTGGCGCAGGCAACGGGGCAAGACGACGACCTATTCCAAGGAACAGAATAGCCCAGACTACGGCCTGTACGGCAAGATTTGAACTTTGTGAGTCTGTGAGTCACGCATATAGGAATAGGGACAACACTATGTGTGCACATGAAAGCCGACATGAAGCATTGGCAGAACTGCTTCGAGAATTCCACACTAAATGATTCGAGCGATGCATCATCGACGCTCTTGGCTGCCCTTTTGCGAACCGGCATGCACGTTGATCAACATGTATTCAAGTTGGCAATGCTCAAGACATGCATGTGGGATGCTTCTGGTGTCCACAACAACCTCATGATGACTCTGGCCGTCGCCACCATCAGCATCCGCATCAGAATCATCATGATTTTCATCATCCCCGGTACAATCATCATGATCCCATCAGCGTCCGTAGTCATCACCATTCCACTCACAAATATCATCACCTTGAATACGCACAAACCATTACGGCATAACCGCGTCATCAGCAAGGGTATCATCAGTCTTATCGTCGTCGCCATCTCGATGAGGACAATGATCATCATCACATGCATGATCATCGCCATCAGTGTAATCACCAGCACCATCGTCACCATCCTTACCATCACAACCATAACCATCATCGCCGTGGTCCTCCACATCGGGAAGAACCTAGTCATCTCCATCATACGGATCACCGCCCACAGCTATGACAAATGTCAGTATTGCAGTGATTGTATTCGTGATGATAGTGGTGATGGATGATGATAGTGATGATGACAGTGATGAGGTTGACTGATATATGTTAGAGTAGGACGATTCGGACTATGAGGTGTAACAACATGATGACGAAAACCAGGATGCGGCTTACGGCTCTAAAAGGAGATTCGGCTCATCACCAACTGTGAGGTCATCCTTAATAACCGGTCCTGAGAATTCATCGGCACCGCTGGGCCAAATCCTTTCGAACGACGCCCCATTGCTTAGCTCGCAGATGCATCTTGGATCCTTAAGACCAAGATGCCATCTAAAGACCATTCGAACCAAGCTAAGCTTTGTAGCAAACTGCTGTGCCGGAAGTTCCTGAACTTGCACACAAGCCTCGAAAGAGCGACCTGTTCTAAACTATTTGGCACCTGTTGCTGTCAAAATGTTACCTTGACGGCTCCAACTCTGGTACAAGCTACACGTCGCTTGTTCTTGATGGGGGCCAGTGGCTCCTGGATACGTTTCGATCGCTCACGTACCGCGATTGAAATTAGACATTCTCGCCTGTGCAAGAGCGTCGGCAAGCCCCAGCAGAAATGAGACTCTGTAATGTTGGGGCCTTAATAATTGGAATAGGGCTTGTGGCCCTAGAAAAAGGAGCTCTAAGGAATAATATTGCGGAAATGGTAATTATTCAGGCTTCTACAGTAGACGTTAGCGAACAGAAACTTCCCAGGGTACGAAGCGCAGCCACAGTGGAAAAGGCTGCTGTGGGCATGCTTCCGTTGACCCAGGTCGGCTGTCTCGCCTATAGACCTCAAAATCAGGACGCCTCCTTTGCACCTGCCTGCCTCAACAGCTCAGACATTTGCGTCCATGAAGAAGCCATGTGCTCGACCAGTACTGCCAGTACTTTGCCACGCATTTCCGCGATATTAACCAAGACGGCTTCCCGATTTAGGGTTAGAGGAACTCCAGTAATCCGGTATATTCAGGTATCTAGTTAGGATCTACAGATATAGGCTCTTCTTGGAACGTGCCGCCCCAGGGTCGAAGCCTCGCGGCGCTGCGAGTCCAGTGCGGCAACGCGCGACACTGCGCATCTTTGCCGCGTGCATCTGCAACCTAACCTAAATCGGGAGCATCCCTTTGGGACTCTCCCAGCCATTAGCACGGTTTAGTGTCTAAGAGACAAGAACACTCAGTTTAGTATACCTGATAGTATCCCTTACAGTCACCGTTGTAGTACCCACTTGAAGACCTCAGGCGATCCATGGTATTGAAGATGCGTGGCCCGGATCTTCAAGAGCTTGCAATGGCAAACAGTCTCGAAGCATTAGTGGACTATCCGAATACCCACTGCTGAGACCTGCCGAAGTATAAGAGAACCGCTCGAAGCTGCAGTCTGAACTAGAACAGGATGCATTCTTCAAACCTTAAAAGCGTTGCGAGCAGCTCAGTGCGAGCTGCTCCGGCAGATCTGGTGAAAGTCACGAGCTTCCTGGCCGAGTGAGGTTCAAACGCGACGCCCAAGTAGGGAGTCCCCTTCAAGTTCTGGGTATAAGACACTGATCACCTATAGCTTAGGGTCTTGTGGTACTTCGGAAACTCGAATACTTCGCAACAACTTTCTGGGCCTACCTCTGTTGTATAATGACCCCGTATAAAAATCCTTATCCCTGAGCGTTGTTATCGTTTTATTTTCTTCTTATCGTTTTACCACGAACATGCAATACCGTTTCGTTATGTCTTGTTATCGTTGTATTTTCTTCTTGTCGTTTTTCCAAGGAAGACCATCGAAACCGAATACGGACATGTCAAGACTAAACTTAACAGCACGGGGTTATTATACAGTCCCCAGATTTAATCATCAAACATGTCGTTCTTTGGGAACGTGAGTTGAGCAGCGAGTCAACTGGAACGGCTTTCAGTGAACCCAACCCTAATAAATGCTAAGCTGCTAAACCCAAAGCCCCAAACCCTAAAAACACAGCAATCCAGCACCCAACAGTGCGTAGTTTCGCCTGCTATCTTCACGTTACCCTCAAACGTCATAACAAATAGCACAAGGCAAGAAACAAACAGCTACTACCCTCGGGCTTGGGGCGTCGGCTGAAGGGTTTAGGGTCCAAGGTGTAGGGCTGCCGCACTCAGACGAAAGTCTTTGCCTTGTGTCTCACAGCTTGACCCTCAGGAAGGCCAACGATCAAAACCCCCCTTTACACCCGAACCTGGCACATCCAAAGCCCATGCTTAGAGTCCTGCTTATATAAGAACCGATCGTCTGAAGTCACCGCAGTTTCTGAGGAGGCAGCTGTCTAGTCATCGCTCCAGCCCGGCGTCTCGCACCATCCTGAATCAGAACAGGATGTATATCTGGACCGTTCCTGTCAAATCATGTTCTGGCAGTGAGTCTTGAGGGTGGGGACCCTCGGCTCATCTTAGCTTGGGGTTGGGGGGAGTTCCGAGCGGTGACTTACGTAGCCAGCCGTGTGTTTGTAAAAAGCGGCTCAATCCTTCGGATTCAACACAACTGTCAGCCCAGATGCTCCAAAAGCTAAAGGATCTGTGGCTTGAGGAGTATTCCATGCCGTCTAGTTCCGAAAAATCACAACGGCAGGGTGGTCAAGACTGAAAGGGAACTGGCGGACAAATCCACTTAAAACTAAAGCTGCTATACAGGGTCGTCGAACAAACCCCAGGCGGTGGGGCAGGGCTAAGATGGTCTTGTAGGCATCTTGCTGCTTCTGGCTACGGTCAAAGCTGGGTGCTGGTGAGAGTTGTTATGGTGCTTACAGTAAATATAGTACTATTATAGTCAGTTATAGTAACGCCCTAGTAGTATTTACAGGCATCGTATTACTATGATATTACTTTACAGTCATCTCATTTCGCGTCCCGGTCCTTGTAATGGGCGAGATGCGCTCGCAGCAAGTGCAGGGAATGAACGGGTACTCCTTCGGTGCGCTTGCATCATTTCACAGGCGGCTCGCCTTCGACTGTTCTTACCCAGCAAACAATCCCAAGCAACTACAGGTATGTCTCTGGAGCAGGAGCTTGCAACCCCTCGTCAGTAGGCGAAGCTGGCATGGCAATCCTGACCCGTCACTGCCATCCCCACCCCACGCCAGCATCAGCACCAGCAACAGCACTAGCACCGGCACCAGCTGATGCCGCTACCAGCAGCAGCAGCAGGCAGCACCAGCACCAACTGCTGCCACTACCAGCAGCAGCAGCACCACCAGCATCAGCATCAGCATCAGCGTCAGCACCAGCACCAGCACCACAGTACCAAAACTCCACCTCATAGTACCAAATCGCACTTCAGTCATAAAGTCATCGATTGAAACTGCAACAGGAGCATCTCAAAGCAGACCCGAGACACCGAATGGGACTCGCCAGCCCAACACAAAATGTCTCATTGATTGCAAGATTAAGAATGTTACTGACCGGGACGAGGACCCGGACTGCGAATGCTGAACGGACAGTGCGATAACCCGGAAATTTGACCTTGGCTAGGACGTTCTGTTGGGAATAAGCAGACGGAGCGACACCAACATACAGCTCCAGCATTCGTAAAGCCCCAGCCTTCCCATCAGCCATCAACTTGGGCTTGTGTTGGAGGACAGCGGCCTCCTTCCTGGAACGGCCTCAATCAAACACGCGTAACTACAAGGCAACAAAGATTTAAAGGAGGGAAAAAGATCCATATCAAGCTGCGGACTAATGACTAATGAAACCGCTGCCATCGACTGGTCGTGTTTCTCAACCGACCGAAAGCAAGGGCAGCGATGGACATGAAGAGATGCTGGCGGTGCGCTATTTGTACGCGTAACTCTGTCAACATCATTGACGC